CTTGTTGCTTAGTTGTTTAATTGCTGGCCTCGCTAGAGGAAAAGCTGTATCAACAAAGTTCCGGAGCTGGAAGGGGGGTTACTTGGAGGGGAGCTGGAAGGAGGGTTACTTGCTGGGCTTGCTACACATTTCATCACATCAGCAAGTTTAACCTGTTACGTAGCTATATAAGGCAGACACCCACTGGGGTGTGAGTGCTTGCTTTGCGAATGATTGCCAAGCGCCACTTTCTGCGCAGAAATAAAGATTAAGTTGGATCCTTCACCCCTGTGTGTTTATTGGCACAAGCGCACCGGGCACGAACTCACTGTCCTTTGGGGACAACAACCTCAGCGGAGGCACTTATTATATTTGTCATTTGGAACAATTTCTATCTACAGGTCAAGCTGTTCTTAACATCTGAGGAATGATTCCTGGCTATTCAGTACTGGAGTTCCACTCCAGGAGCTAAATAAATAAAACCAATTTCCTACAGGGGAGAACAAAGGAAAAGCTTTCAAAACTGTGACTATCTACTAGTAACTAACTGTTTATGCAAGAAAGGCAGCTGCTAACCAGTGATAGAAACAGAGAGCATGAGGCACCTCAGGACCCACAGATGGTAAGGCAGAATGAAGAAGGTGTTGGAGTGACCCTTCCCACTATACCCTGTGTTGGAGGCATGAAGACATTCAGGGCACATGCTCTACTCCAACTGTACCTGCTGATCAAAACTGTCCACTAGATTGAGAGGTTCACCCCCCCTCATATTGCAATGTATGCATACAGGCCATCTCAAAGAAAACATGCTGAATCTCCTCCACTGAAAAAAGTCCAAGATATCTCCCATCCCTTCATTCCCAAGCATCTAAAACAGTGATGCTCAACCTTTCTTACAAATGGACCAAACCTTAAAATCAGAAATAGACCAAGGGCCACGTAATAGTTCTTTCTATACTTGGGCATATCCTAATGTGACATAATTGAAGTAATATTAGAAAAAAAAACCCATACATTTTTAGTAATGTTAGGCTTATTAATACATAGTAAAAAGTGCAGTATTCATAGTATTATTTTAAGCTTCATAAAAATAATTAAACTTTAGAATCATTGCAAAAAATAATAAAACCAACCATAATAATTCAAGAATTATTTCAGATGACAGATGAAAATTACCCAGCTGGCAGCAATGTACCACACCCTCAGTTTCCTGCACTTTCCAGTGACCTGCCAGTGTCTCCTGAAGAGAGAGCAATGTGCTTTAGGAACAAGGAGGCAGTAGGACCATGCTCTGCCCCAGAGCAGTGGGTCTCTCTCTGAAATAACTTTTTCAGGTGCTGTAGCCAGCCCTGTGCTGTGCCAGAGCTCTGTGGGGGCTGGTGTGGGGTGCTGCCAAGGGAAGGTCTCCATGCCCTGTCCTCTGCCAGCTGCCCAGTTCTCACAGGGCTCCAGAGCCCAGGAGCTGAGCATCACTTCTGTCACCTTGCCCTCTTCTTTCCCCACACCGTCACTGAATTCAGCGATAGGGAAAAGATGGGAAGAGCAGCAGTGGTGGTGCTCAGCTCCAGGGCTGAAGACCTGCTTGAAAGCTCTGAGCTTCCTGCCAAGTTAGAGTAGGCTCTGGATGGAGTCACAGCTTGTGTTCAGCTCTGAAGCCCAGGAGATGAGAGAGTCACTGCTGCTACTCTCCTCTTTCCCTCTCCTCTTTCCCCCCCCCACCAAATTCAGAGACAGGGAAAAGAGGGGACAAGCAGGAGCAACAGTTCTCAGCTCCCAGGCTCAGGAGCTGCACAAAAGCTGTGGCTCTAGCCAAAGTCCACACTGACAGGCCAATGAGCCAAAAGCTTTCATGAAGCTCTAAAGCCCAGGAACTAAGTGCTGCCACTGTTGTTTGTCCCCTTCTTTACCCTGTCACTGAGTTTAGTGTGGGAGAAGGGGAGGAGGAGGAGAATCGTAGCTGTGCTCAGCTTCTGGGATCTGGAGCTTCATGAAAGCTCTGAGCTGACTGGCATGGCAGTGGGGGTGACAATGCTGCTGCTCATACCTTCCTTTCCCATTACTGAATTCAGGGCACTTTTATCTGTGGGTGATGGGCCAGTCACACCAACTTTACCAGGTGCATTGGGGCCGTGCAGAGTTTGAATACCACTCATCTGAACCAATCCTCCTATCATGCCACTCTGATTGTATCTTCTTTATATCTCTTCAGTGGTGTTCCAATCTTCCACAACATCAAAAACAAAGTTTTCTCATAGTCAACAAATTTGTCTCTATAATCTAGCTCTATCCTATCTACTCAAACTTTTATCTTATTACAAGATCAAGGTCAGCTAGACCAGCCACTTCTTTAACAGGCATTTTCACACTTTCTCCCATGCTGCCTTTTACAAGAGGGAAAAGCTTCCAACTAAAAGCCACAAAGCCTCCATTTTATCTTCTTTAAGTCCCTCCTCAAAATCCATCTTTTCTTTTTTCCATATAGGAAACAGCAATCCAGAAGTGCCTAGACAGGGTACAAGTTTTTATGTCCTTGGTGGGCTAAAACGTGTGTATATATCCTTTTTTGTTGCTGTCTCTGATTGCCACCCCGATCCACTTTTTTCTGTTATCTACTTCTTATATCTTGTCTCTTAGGGTGTAAGTTCATATGGGCAGGGACTTTCACTTTCTACATATTTATACAGTTTCTAGGACAAGAAGACTCCAATCCAATTGACTTGTAAGTACTACTGCACCATAATGTGAGATATCAATTCTAACTGATAATTTTTTATTATTATGCCACCCAAAATGTGCTGGCACTTTATAAACGAAAAGTGCCTGCCCTGAAGATTTTACATAAAGTGAAAGCATACTAGAATGCAACTGAATGCGTAGGGAA